TCAAGGAGGATCGCGATAGCAGTATCACTCCACTCCTCCCGCTCCTTCCGGTGATCTCCACCTGCGCTGGATTCGTGTTTCGGTTTCTTGCTCCGCCTTCCATTCGGAGTGATTTCACCAGATTTCGTCAGGTCTTCTCCGGTCCCCGGAGAATTCACGGCGGCAGGCGTGGCGGGAGAATTTGCCGTGGCGACGATGGCCATGGACTCTCCGTTGTTGATGTTATTACTCCCTTCGCCGATCGGAGGCGATTCAGCATTTGTTGATTGAGCCATTGAAGGGAGAAAGAGAGAGTAATTGGGGTTAGGGTTTCTGATTTCTCCGACGAGGGGAGGAGAAAATACACAGACGACGTTAACGAGCCGTTAAGCGTTACTTAGGTTGTTGGCTCAGCTGTTTCGTGCCGGTAAGGATTTTCCGTCACGTCTCTGTAAGGAACCCGTCAAAGTGTTGGCCTGTACCCTAATCTTTGTACTAATTTCATTTCAGCCCCTCAAATCTTTGTTTAAGTTACGAATGAGTGCCTTAAAGTTAGAAATCACTCATTTTACCCCTTCAACGGTCTTTCGTCCAGAATTATGTACTTTACTACTACAAGGGTTGTTCGGATACAAATAATATAAATAGAAAATAATTGTGTTTTAACCTGTTAAAAACTAGTAATATTTTAAGAATTTTAAAAGTCATCAAATCTATCATCTTATTTGCATAAAAGTTACGATCAAGATAAACAAGTTGATATCATGATGATTCAATTAACCGATCTTGGATCATCTATCATGACCTAGTCATCTTTGTACGTTAGTTTAAGCTTCATTTATTTTGTTAATCAAGGTAAAACGGATTTTAAGTTGTGCATCTTAATATCAACGAAGAGACATTTTAGATCATTAATATCTCGATCCGACTGAAAATAATACGTTATTCACTATATCACACTCTAATATTTTGACCACCCTATACGATCACCTAAAGAAATTACACTCTAATATTTTGACCACCCTATATGATCACCTAAAAAAATGTAAATATTCATGGTTATTTCCACTAACAAAAACCTATTTTCACAATCTTTGGCTCAAATTATATATATATATATATATATATATATATATATATATATATATATAGAGAGAGAGAGAGAGAGAGAGAGAGAGAATGGAGGAAGTTATAACATGGAACCTAGACGACTACCAGGATTGTCCATTATTAGAGCCAATCTTGTATGTATCATGTAAAATATATTTACTATTTTGTAATTTTCTTATTATTTCTATGTTGGTATGTTGGAGTGTTTAAATCTCAATCTCAAGTAATTACCACTAGACCACTTTGGTGTCCGTATAAAGTTAATCATGATGTTTTTCACCATATAGGATTCCCACATTATATAAATAATGATCAATAAACCCTTGAATATTTGAATAAGAGAGCTTTCGCTATATCAAATAATTTTTAAGAAAATCATTATTCATGGTATTTTGGAGTTATGTTTTCATAATTTTTATTGCTGAAAATGCTCTTTCAAATGTTACGGTAGAAACAGGAAGAGTCAATATAAGACAAATTAATTTATCAAACAAATGATAAGTATCTGATTTTCCTGTTTTATATAGACCTTTACACAACTCATAAATTATAGAATTTTTTTTCTGTTATTGGGTGATTTTGCAAATCTAATTCATAATGTTGTAACTTAATTTTCAACAAATTCCTATTGTGCTCTGTAAAGTCCATATTATGGATACTATTATATTGTCAATTTACATATGTCCTTAACATTTGAGGATTTTCTTAGATCTAGCATAACACTGAGACGGAAAAAACTTTATTGCAAACTCATTTTAATCTAGAGTTCAACCTTTGCAACTTACTATCAATAGCAGTAATGAATAATTCAACTCGTTAGTGATGCTCTTTCTTTGTCATAACGTTGGTGAATTTCATTACTATAAGTTTCATTCATGTTAGGGACATGAATGCTATTTTTCTCACAAAAACAAACCACTTGGTCCAAAAGTCATTGTCAACCTTCATCTCTCAATTTTTGAATCAATATTATTGTTGTAAAAACCAATGATAGAGCATTAACAATATCAATAGATTTTTGTTGTATAATATTTTTCATCCCTATACTTTTTAAAATATCATTTTCACCCCTTTATCTTTCATCTCTCAATTTTGTATAATCCGTCACTTGCAACCCTTTTATTTTGTAAAACGATATCTTCCATCATTCTATATATTAGAATATCACTTTCACCCCCTTCCTGCACCTTTAACTTAATATCACTTTAACATTTTTTATTTTCTAAACTTCCGTGCTCGTGGTATATATAATATGATTTGTCTACTTATATTTTCTTAAGACACAACAAAAACATATAAAAATCCGCAGCAAAACGCAGACTCAATTACTAGTATTTGAGCAAGATGGAAATGCTACATGGTGAAAACACGATGCTTACCCAATATGCCACTATATTGTGGAACCCATATTTGGTGAAAAACTCCATGATTACCCGCTACGTAGTGGAGGAATACATGGCTTGCTACTAATACACTTAATAATAAGAAATTTACGAATTTAGTAAATAACTTTTTTACTTTGTTACATTATTACATGAACTCCATGTATGGTAAATTTTTTGTTTTTTGTTATGTTTTACAGTTTTAGCTTGGTCACATCTTCTTGTCGATGAAATGAGCCGATGATATGGCGTTGTTCATCTAGCGATGCCGCTGCAAAATTATCTTTATTAGAGATCATAACGGATTGACAGAAGCCCCATAACAAGCAACTTTACATTATAAGTGTGGCCCTAAGCCCCCTATGAAAGAAGTTACTTACAGAATCTTTGTTAGTGGTGTCATTCTAACCATGAATTACAACAAGTTATGTTTAGATTGATGTCCTGTCAATAACTTTTTAATAATGTATTTTGTTAAAAAATCTTATTATTTAATATATCTGACAAATTTGATTAATCAACCAATCAATAAGTGACAAAGGTTTAATCATGCGATGTTGTAGGGTAATAGGAAAGTGTTGTGCAAATGAGGTAACATAAAATACAACTTATGTTTAGTGGTGTCATTTTAACCATGAATTATAACAACTTATGTTTAGATTGATGTCATGTCAACAACTTTTTAATAATGTATTTTGTTATAAAAAACCTTATTATTTAATATATCTAATAAATTTGATAAATCATTAAATGACAAAGATTTAAAATACTATTAAAATTGATTAATATTTGTTAACATTGACAAATATTATGAAATTCATTTTTTGAAAAACGAAGGTAAAATGACCACATACAAGTAGATAAAGACCTGTTTATTAGGGATGAGTAGCGGAAGCGGGTACCTGCTTTCAGAACCGAAACTGCCTCGGAACTGCCGGTTCCGTAACCGGAACTGCCTTAGGCGGTTCCAGTTCCGGTTCCTAAAGTCTCGGAACCGCCTTAGGCGGTTCCGGTTCCAATTCTCATTTTTCAAAAACCGATACCCGTTGGATACCCGCCGGTTCCGGTTCCAATACCGGGTACCCGGAACCGGCGGTTAACCGGAACCGGTACTGCCGGGTACCCGCCTCTTTAAAACATATATATATATATATATATATATATATATATATATATATATATATATATATATATATTGGAAAAAGAAGTGGTGTAAACTGTAAAGCGTAATTGCCTTATCATTTTTAGGGTTTGTGAGTCACAAATTGTGACTGAGAATTCATTCTTACACCCCGCTCCCGAGTTATAGCAATGAAAAGAAGAGAAGAGAAAAGAAAGTAAGGAGAGAAAAGAAGAGAAAAGAAAGGAAAAAAAAATTGTCATTTGTGTTCCCGAGTTGGAGAGAAATAAAAGGAAAGTTAAACATTTTGTTCTTTCTTTTTAAATCCTCCCAAATCGGGAGGAAAGGTAGGAGGGAAAGTTTTCCTTCCATTTCCTTCCACTTTCTTCCTTTAATGAAACTCGGGAGCACCATTCTCTCTTGCTTTCCTCTCATTTCCTCCCATTTCCTTTCTTTTCTCTCTTTAAGTTGAACTCGGGAGCGGGGTGTTAGTTTCTTACCAAAATAACGTAGACACTCACTCACACTCCCCTCTCGGCTCTCGCAAATCGCAGTCGTAACTCGTAAGACGCCAACACTCAGATTTGTTTACTCGTTTGATTCGCTGGAGATTGGAGTAGAAGACGAAGGTGACTCGTTCGATTCTTAGGCCCCGCTCAATCGCTGATCGATCACGTTGTTCCCCCTGTTCAATCGACGAACGAAGACCATCGCCGACCATCGCTGCAAGCCTGCAACTACAAGTCTTCATCTTCAAGATTAGATTCTCGAAATTTGATTTTTAGAAACCCAATTGCCGACAATTGTCGAACATCGCTGCAAGACTGGTACCATATGTTCTCTGTAATCGGAATGAGGAAGACTGGTACCCAATTTGTCGAACATCGCTGCAAGACTGGTACCCAATTTGATTTTCAGAAACCCAATTGCCGACAATTCATCCCCAAATTCCCCCTGCTATAATTCTTACTATAACCCCATCTTCAGTAGCTTCTGCAATATTCCTACTCGCCATCTCTTGGTACCTTGGCTCAATCCTTCATGTATTTATTGTATGTTCAACAAATAAGTCATGAATTCCCACTTATAAGAAATCCCATTCAAATTGTTGTTCAAAAGAAATCCCATATATGTATGTTATATTTTGGCTGTATATGTTATCTGTATGTTATATTTTGATTCATTGTTATATTTTAGTGTGTTCCTCCATCTCTCGAAGCCTGTAACTAAAATGTCGACTGATTGTTATATTTTGGTTGTATCTGTATGTGTTTTGATTTAGTACCCTGTATCTATATGTGTTCAGATTCCCACTGTTTTTTTGTGTTTTGTGGTGTCAAAAGTTCATTGTTTTCTTTTGGTTGTTATTGATTAATTTATGTTTGTTGTCTGAAATTTTAGGTTCACCAATGGAAAGTAGTCGAATTGATGTTGACTTGGATGGTGAAAGTGAGGCTGTTGAGCAAAACAAAGTGCCGGTAGTTGGGGACAAAAGGACATCAAACGCTTGGCGCAACTACACAGATGTTAGAGATCCAAAGACGGGCAAGATTATAAAGGCGCAATGCAAACATTGTTCCAGAATCTTGATTGTTACTACAAAGAATGGTACATCATCTTTGGGTAAACATAATGTTGTATGTTTACAGAATCCTAATAATATTGATAAAAAACAAAAGAAAATTAGCACTTTTAGAACAAGTCAAAGTGATGCGACTACTGTTTCTAATTGGGAATTTAACCAAAATACAATCAGGCTTGCTTTAGCAAAAATGATTGTCATTGATGAGCAACCATTTTCATACGTTGAACGTGACGGGTTCAGATATTTTTGTAGTGTTGTTGTTCCACAGTTTTGTATCTCGTCACGTTTCACGGTTGCTAGAGATATTAGTAAAGTGTTTCTTTGTGAGACGGAGCAATTGAGAAATACCTTGAAAAGTTTGAATTCTAGGATTGCTCTTACTACTGATTGTTGGACTTTTGTGCAAAATTTAAGCTATATGTGTTTAACTGCTCATTTTATTGATGATAACTGGAAATTACATAAAAGAATTTTGAATTTCCGTAATATTGATAGTCATAAAGGAAAGGAAATCGGCAAAGAAATAGAATCTTGTATTCTTTATTGGGGTATTGAAGAGAAGTTATCTTGCATCACTGTAGATAACGCAAGTGCTAATGATGTAGTTGTTGCTCATATAAAAGACAATCTAATGGATAAACTTGTCTTAGGAGGTGAGTTTTTCCATATGAGATGTGTTGCCCATATCTTAAACTTGATTGTTAAAGATGGTCTCGATTTGATTTAAGATGCCATTGTTAGGATTAAGGGTGTAGTTAGATATGTCACGAGCTCTACGGAAAGATCAAAGTTGTTTGATACTTGTGTTTCAAAATCAAAAATTTTGAGTAAAGCATCTGTATCTCTTGATGTACCAACACGGTGGAACGCCACTTACATTATGTTGGAAACGGCAGTTAAGTTTGAGAGAGCTTTTAAAAGAATGAGACAAGAAGACCCCGCATTTGAGAAAGATATTAAAGATGGATTTCCATCCCAAAAAGATTGGGAAAGTGCTAGAAATTTATCTCTTTGTTTGAAGCAGTTTTTTGAAGCCACGAAAAGGATGTCGGGAACTTTGTATGTCATGTCAACAACTTTTTAATAATGTATTTTGTTATAAAAAACCTTATTATTTAATATATCTAATAAATTTGATAAATCATTAAATGACAAAGATTTAAAATACTATTAAAATTGATTAATATTTGTTAACATTGACAAATATTATGAAATTCATTTTTTGAAAAACGAAGGTAAAATGACCACATACAAGTAGATAAAGACCTGTTTGTGTTTATCATCAAGTACATGGAGATTAGAGAAAAGGGTTACACAATACTATTATAGATCATACCTCTATTACTCTTATTATACATTTAGTTCAAGACAGAATATTATTAGATGTCCAAAACCACATCTTATACCTATAGTAAAAATCTTATAATTTCACAGTTAAGTATATATATATAAATCTACCCTATTAAGACCACCTAACAACAAGCCAATAACACATATATATGGCTTTCAAACAGAAAATTATGAACTCGTATTGTAAAGAGTATACCCTAATCATCAGTCATCAACACCATTCTCACACTCCAAACTTTTTGCATTAACTTCCCTACTAAACCTCCATATATAATTAAGCCCCACCAAAAGCTCAACAATCATAGCTTCAATCTTTTCTTGATTTGCATAGTAAACAGTTTGCACTAAAAGAACATTCGTTCTAGAAAGCAAATTTTGATGCTCAAAACTTCTTTCACTTTGCCATCTTATCATATTATGAGCAAGTGGTGATAACCAATCCAAAATTCCCAACATAGCCTCACTCCATTCTTCTGCAAGATCATTATCATAAACACAAGAACCCATACTTTTTGCATATGGTTTTAACCTTCCCCTTAAACCATTTCTCACAGTTTTAGGCAACATGTTGTATAAATCATCTCTTGCATCATGCCCAATCAAATGAGGTGATGCTACTAACTTCTCAAGTACTATGATCACATTCGCATAGTGTAAAGCTAAAGCAACAGCACCAAGGGTTTCTGGAGGAGGAGGGGTAATTTGGGGTTTTTGTTTTTTGCTAGAAAATCTTGAGACTTGATTGTGGGTTTTTGTGTTAGTACTTGAAAAATTAGGGGTAATGCTTTTTCCATGGATCTTTGATGAATTATTCCACCATTTTAGCCCGGATTTAGCAGCTCGAGTCAAAGGACCTGATTTTGATGTTGTTGGATTCGCGATTGTTCCCGAAAAATAACTTGTGTTTCTTTGTTTACCAAGTGGGCCCGAGTAGAATTTCGAAATCGAGCCGGATTTGGCATTAATGTTACCCAAGGGACCTGAATTGAACATTGTAACTGAAGATTCAAGAAACCCAGATACGGATTGTTTGCGTGAAGAATCTATCACCATACTTTCTTCAATTTGAGGTAAGACATGAGTGATTCCAAATACATGTCCAATTCTAGCAAAAATGGTGAAAATAGATCTTGCAAGAAGGAGGACAACATAGTCATATGTCCTGTTCCATAATGAGATCTCTTTCAATCGCCTCACTTGTTTCTGCTTCAATGTCACCTTCTTTGTGTATTCAGCTACAATTATGGTGTCATGATCATCGTTGTTCTTCATTCTCTTCAACATTTGTTCAAGCTCAGTTAGGGTCTCCATTTCTTGATATAGATTTGCATTAACCATGATGAAAGTTTCCATCTTTTTCACTTTTGTGTTCATCTTCTTCCAAGAAACTTGCCATTGGTATTGATCGACACCATGTTTGATCAAATCATCGTATGCGCGTTCAAAGCAAATTAGAAGGGGGTCTTTGCATTTCTTTGAGAGTCTTGTTACAACTTTTGCAATGTTTTCTAAGTTGTGTAGCATTTCAGTGCAGATTAAGTCTACTACATGATCATCGTCTTCTGATATGAGCTTTTTGATGCCTACTGAGTTGCTGATCTCTTCTCTTAACTTCATGACTTGTTTATCTGTAAGGGAGTTCCATTGATGAACAAGCTTGGACATTACACTTGCTACTTCAAACACCAACACTCCAATTCGTGCCTTTTCTGGACCATGGTTGTGGTTCTTTGAAGGTTTCCAGATGCTATGAAACCATGATTCGGAAACCATGATGTGGCTTGAGAATGTTTAAAGTAATGATCTTGGAGTCGAGCTTGATAGTAGTTGCTTGATTCTGATTTAATGTAAAGATAAAAACGATCAAAAAAGCAATTTCAGGAGTTATTGTTGTTGTGTAGCGAATATAGGAAGTGTAGCAAATTAAGTATGAATAGATTTAAAAGGTAACTTTTGGATGCATGCATGAGAAGTATAGTATATAAAAAGTCCAAAAAAAGGTAACTGGGTGATAGATAAAGCCATAAAGGAACAAAGTGTAGCTGGATTAAACCCAAAATCAACCATTATCATACCCAAAGCATGCTAGAAAAAAAAAACCGAATTTGGCTAATCAGTAGCAAAAAACAACCCTAATCAAACCAATCAAATGATAGGCCTCCGTACTCCAATTACATGACCTTGAATTGGGATTTGAAGTAACCAAATCCAATTTCATGATTTAGAATGAAAGTTGAGCAAAAATCTAAAATCTTATCTAAAAAGATCCATTTGGAACTCCAATGTCTCAAAGACTACGTAATTTACTATTTGTGAATCCCAATCAAATGAGTATGAAACATAAAAAATGGAAATGAAATTCAACCAAACAGAACTTTATTTCTTATTCCAATTTCCAAGCTTCCGAGCTCAAAACCAATCAAGCTGGTATACAAATCCCCATCCCAATTCCAAATCTATCATTTAATACTCCCATACACTACTGAAACAAGAAAATGTCAAATTACAACTATTAAATGAACGAGTAAACCAAACCCTAGCCCCACCGTTTTTTACTAATGCAATGACAGCTGCGACAAAACATGCAAATAAGAAAAGAGAATCAACGGAATCTTTATACGAGAATGAAAAAGAAAACTCACCGATTCTATGAGTAGAAAAGATGTAGAATCTTAAGAACAGATTTCGAAGTGTAGAGAAGAGAGAATGTGTGTTCTTCAGTTGAGGAGGAAAGGGGGAAGAAGCTGCAGTGACCATATGGAAGGTTAAGAAGAAACCGAGTGAACTTAAAAATAGAAAATTAATGTGATAGAAAGTTTTCTTTTTAGTCCTTCTAGTTTAAATAATTGTTCCTTCAGACCCCTCTATTACATGGTGCAAACTTAGAGTGAGTATCAGTTATTTTGTTTTTTCATTTTTTTATTTTCTATCGACCACTTATTATTTATTAAATTATTTTATTTTTATATTTTATACTTTTAATTTTATTATTTAATAATAATTTAGTTTTATTTAATAATATTTTATTTATTATTTTTAACTGTATAGTTTATTTGCTAAATATAATAATATTTATCTATCAAATATAAAATTCATATCGACTATATAATATTAACAAAGTTTTATTTATTTTTATTATTATGTATGTAATAATTTTATTACATATTATATTTTCAAGAAAAAATATCTAAAATAATTGTATTGTAGTATATTTTATTATTTAGATATTAATATTAATGTATTTTAAAATATAATGTATTAAAATATAATGAAAATTGTGTGTGTATAATGTATATCTGAAAAATTAAATGAGATAACTTTATAATTAGCTTTTAATGTATGAGCATAAATTAAGTAATTTAAAGAAAAATCATTTAAATAGTCTTAATTGTTGGATGTTATTTTCAATAATTGGTTTTTGTTTAATAAAACACTTTATAATACATTTTTAATGTATGAACATAAATTAAGTAATTTAAAGAAAAATCATTTGAATTGCCTTAATTGTTGGATGTTATTTTTAATAATTGGTTTTTGTTAAATAAAACTATTGAAAAGTTGATGTAAAAGAAAATGATAAAACTATTGTAGATGTTTATGATTATCGATGCTCTAAGTAGATGCCTAATTCCCTAAGCCCACATGAGCCAGGTTTTTGACAACACGTTCATATTTAGGGGCTGTTTGGCAGTATCTGAATTTTTAAGAGATCTGAATTTCTAAGAGGGTCTGAAACTTTAAGTTCTGAATTTTTAACATGTTGTTTGGTTGGAACATCTGAATTGATGTGCTGAATTAAAAATGACCATTTTACCCTTCACTGTTATTTTTTGTTGAATTCAATGTTTCTGTTTATAAAATAACCAAACCAACTTCTTGAATAATTATAAAAAAAAGTATAAACACAATGCAAAATTCAAATTAAAAAAAAATTAAATCAAACACTGCTCTAATATAAAGAGGTAAAAGTATAATGCTATAATAAAGAAATCAATAAAAATACATTACTGTTTTTTGTATTTAACCCTTACAAAAACAATTTTACAATAGCTATGAAAACAACCTAAACTCTATGCTTATATGGATCACGTTACATACATACAACCCAATTCATACATATATAATCTTATATATATTTTCAGAAGAAAATCCTCACAATTTGAAGCTTAATGATTTTTCCACATTGTTCCACAGTGAGAATTTTCTACAGAGGGATGAGAAATTAACATCTTCATCATACAAAAGCAAAAATGGATACAAGAAACATCAGATGCCAAAGTTCCAATTGCTCAAGGTCAAACATCAATGCCTAAACTCTAAAGTTCCAATTGCTCAAATAAGAGACAAAAAGGAACAATTTGGACAAAAAAAAAGTTCACAACCTTCATCCACAGTCATCTTAACCATCAAAAATCACATAATACTCTAAATCCATAACCAATTTGGAAACTGTAGATCAGTTTATGATAATAACAACTATGATTATTCCATGAAACTAGAAATCAATAACTAATTTGGAATGAAACTACAGATTCAAAACATCACAACATCACAGAAAAACCAAAACATGAACATTTAAAAACTCAGAATATTAAATCAATTTTTGATTTCACATCATGAAAAAAAATTCGATTTCACAAATAAGGAGTGATTTTAGCAACTTCATACCTGACCAATAAAGGAGATCGGAGACCGGTGTTGGCGATGGCAGCGCTTTCGAGGGCGAAACTGGCGATGTCGGAGCTGGGTGTCGGAGGTCGTAGTTCGGTGGTGGGACTCGATTTCATGGAGGTGGGAGTGATATAAGAAGTTGTGTGAAACGTATGGGTGTACGAGGTCGATGATGGGGCGACGGTGTTGTGCGAGTCGACGATGGGAGGAGGTGGCCGGCGATAGGATGAGGTGTTCGGTGATGAGAGGAGGTGATTGGCGTTGGAGTCGGTGGGAGGTAGGAGGTGATTGGCGTTGGAGTCGGTGGGAGGTAGGAGGTGATAGGAGAGAAGATCTAGTGAAGGTGGGTTATGGAAGCGTTCATATGAGGGCAATAGAGGGAAGGGTGTGTATTTTTTTTTATTCAGATATGATTTCAAGTTTGAAAGTTTAAGAGGATTTTAAGAAATTAAGAGCCTTTTATTCAAAGGCTAACAAACGCTCTACATCTGAAATAATAAGAGGCTGCCTCTTAATTTCTTAATTAAGAGGTTGCCTCTTAATTTCTTAATTAAGAGGCTACCAAACAGCCCCTTAGTGTTTATATTTTGGTTTCCGATCCTATTTAGGTGCAACTTTAGTGTTTATATTTTGGTTTTCTTTATCTCTCCCTTACAACATTCTTACGAGGATTGTGTATTATTGTTGTTGCTGCTAAGGATGAAAGTGGGTCCAAACTCGGACTGGATGGACTCGGACCCGGAACCGATTAATGGAATTTTGAGGATCCGGAAACCGGACCGGTATGTAGGAACCGGTTCCGATTCGGTTCCGGGTACGGTATCGGGTAAAGTGGGTCTAGAACCGAAAAACCCGGAAACATCAAAGTGGATAGGTTGGAACCGGATAAAGTGGATTTAGAACTGGAAAACCCGGAAAAACCGGAATTTTTTGGTAATTACTTACTACTTAGTAGGTTGAACTTTGAAAATTTTCATATTGATATCCCGACTTTAGGAGACTGTAACTCATTGAATATGAAACCAAAATTAACAAAATTATAGTCTAAAATCATGTCCAAACTCTAAAATACACTCTACAAAAAACCGCATGTCAATCCGACTTTAAACGAATGAGATATGTATGTGTTAACATTTTCACAGAATACAAAGTACAAAAACAAATAGCTAAAAAGTTGAAAATTTTCAGTTTTGATATCCCGACTTCGGAGGACTGTATATCATTAAATATTAAACCAAAAATGACAAAATTATAATCTAAACTCATGTACAAACTGTAAACTACAAGTTGGAAAAAAACCACATGTCAATCTGACTTCAAACAAATTAGATATGCATGTTTTAAAACTTTCACCGGATACAAAAAAACTAAAAAACTAAAAACTTCCAGCTTTGATATCTCGACTTTGGGGGACTGTGAGTCAATGAATATAAAACTAAAAATGACAAATTTATAGTCTAAAATTATGTACAAACTCTAAACTACATGTTGTAAAAAACCGAATGTCAATCGGAGTTGAAACGAATGAGATATGCATCTTTTAAACGTTTCATAAAAATCGGTTCCGTCCCTATAAGTGGTTCCGGTTCCAAACACCGGTTCCGATTTTTAAACCTGATTTACCCGGACCCGATGGACCTAACCCGGATTATCCGAAACCCGGATAAAGCCAAAATTTAAACATGGAACCGGAACCGGTTTTATATATTACGATTCTAACGGTTTCGGTTCCGGTCCGATTCCGGTTCCGGTTCCAGTTTTCCGGTTCTAAATCCCATCCCTAGTTGCTGCTAACAAGAAATTGTATATATAATAAAAACTTAAATTGTGTCATATGTGGGACCTAACCCTCAAATTGGTATTCATTGTTATTTACTTATTCATTACCAACAAGAGTCGCACCTCAATGACATGGATGCACTTACAACTCGTGTTTGCTTCAACGTTAATGGTTTTACAAACAAGCAGAATTTAGGAAACCCAGTTGTAATGACTTATTTTAATGTGTAAAAGCAAGCAAATGGAAGGAATGCTAGATCATGATGCATGGCTTGGTCTTATTTCGTTCTATGTTATTCAATGCGTTAAGTGCCCTTTTAGTTGTTATGGCAATCACGACTATGTTTTATTGTGGATAATCAACATTTAATAGAACACAAAGAAGAAAAACGAGTTTTAGGGTTTAGATTAATATGAAACATGTTAATGGTTAAGGCATACTAAATACACACACGCAGTGGCAGATCCGGAACAAAGCTTAACTAGGTCCTTTATACATAAAAAATATATAAAAGTGGAAAATTCTTTAATTGTAAAGTATTTTTTAGGTTTTTTCAGCAAAAAAAATAAAATAAATGAGGGTATTTTCTGTATAAGTGGTGCCAAGTAGGGTGTTTTAGTAAAAAATAGATTTTTTGAAGGTTTGTTTAGTAAAAAATAAGGTGGGACCCACTATCAAGTGGGGCCATATACCTCACTTTAAAACACCCCACTTGAAAGGTCTGTCTCGGCCGTTTCATTGGATTTAACATTCTCCATTGCAACAACTAAATTATCAAACATTGCTCCAATGACTTCTTTTCGAATTTCACCATGTTAAGAATCTTGAAGGCAAGTACCACCTTTATGCGTAACTCCATTGCTAATATTAGGCTGCCATAAGATTTCAAAATTTCAACATCTTTATACGTTTCATTATAATTCCGTATCTTTCGACCAATATATATTAATCGAAATAAGCAACATAAAACATAATGATAAACATATAAAAAAGAGAATGTTAGTGGTCTCATTGATTATTGATGATTTATGGATTATTAGATAATTCAAATATAGAAAAAATGATAATTAGTATGCTTATAAGAATCTAAACGTATCATCCTAATGTAGTAATGTTTGAATGCATAGTCGTCAAAAAACATGAAAGAAATGGTGTTTTTATTAGTTTGGTTGCTTATTATGCAAACTACTTTGTGGCCAATAACATGATAACATGAGATGAGATCGTGACAAGTCTTGTAGAACCAATACCGATAAAAATTGAACGAGGAGTATAAAAATTATTACAATGGGTTTTAAGGATACCTGCATCAGCATGAGCGTGATCTGTAGCCTGGTTTGTGGTGATTTTTTGTTCTTCAATTAGTAGAATGGACCATGCTCCATCAAAAGTAGGTGGTGGCTTGTTATGGCGTATGATACCTGCTATGTTATCAAACTTATGGGATAGACCGTTAATAGCATGAATGACAACGTGTTTTTCTTTAACCTTCTCGCCCATTCCCTCCAGTAAACTTGCGATTTTCTTGATTTTGGTGAAGTAATCGTGAACCGAAAGATCACCCATGGTAATAGAACGGAGATCACTTTCCAGTTGCATACCCGTGGCATCCTTATTTTCTCGGAATAGAGCTTCGATGTTGAGCCAAATCCTTCTGTAGCATTGGTGCCTCTAACAACCAATAAAAATTAAGAAAAAATAAATTCAATAATAAATAATAAAAAGGGTATAATAATAATCTTGACTGCATTTAATTATGGTAAATATTTAAAACATTTAATATATTTTAAATTAGGGGAATTTGTTTCTCAACCCTACAAAAACACCAAACCCCACAAACATCTATTATCGTATTCTTCATCAAATACACCATCGTTTCCATCTTGTAACCCTGAATTCTGAATTCATATATATCGTCCCTTGCTGCAAATTTGGATTTTATACTCTTCTTCATATACTATATCGTCCCGGCGGTCCAAGGATCGACGTAAAAGACAAAGGGACGCAAGATTCACGAATTAAATTTGCATTGTGTGGATATTTTATCAAAAGTTAACATCAAGTAAGTTTTATTGATTTTGATTTTGATTCTTTCAAAAGCATATTCTAATAATATATTATATTGATTTTGATTCTATCTTCATGTTCAGTAATGTCCATGACTTTTTGTAAATAAGAAATTTTAGAATTAATACTTATCGGATACAAACTACAAAAAGTATAAATTGAAGATTTATGAAACATAATGTGCTTCGACTGTTGTTCCATTTTGTTAATATTAAATGGTTTTATAAATAATCATAAAAGTTTAGTGTTTTGTAAATTGCATGTTAGTAATTTCCTACACAATTTCATGTTTTGAGAATTTCAAATTTAAAAAGTGTATTTTGCTATTACAGAATTTATATATTATGATAATGTCTAACAAGTGTTTGTTCAAATGCATGAAAGAGAATCTAAACTTATGATATGTATTCTATCATATTTACTAAGAACACATGTTTTAGGTAATTATTTAAAAAGGTAATTAATTTGTTTGTGTATTATTTTGGTTCAATTTATAATTTTGAATTACATTTTATATTGTCCCTCGTTATTGTATATTTTAACAAAAACAAAATAACCTAAGCCTATATATATATATATATATATATATATATATATATATATATATATATTTCCTTTTTATGTTCATTCAGATTTCAATGAGAATGATACAAATCTTCATGGTATCATATATATATATATATATATATATATATATATATATATATATATATATATATATATATATATATATATATATATATATGGGAAAAGTGAATATACATTTAAGGGTATATAAGCTTAGGTACCCAAACGCACCATAATACGTCGTTTTGTTTGATATATTCATTATAATATTGTTAAACTACAACCCTAACTTGATTTTCTTTCAAAATATTCGACATTTCACTATTATCACTCTCTTACATCACATCTTTTTGCCGAACACCTATTAGGCTATATATATTGTAGTTGAAAATGGAAATTATGTAAGAGGAAGATAAATGTTTAAATTATAAAATTTTTGGAAGTAAATCAAGTTAGAAATTAAATTATAAGAACATTGGATAATTAGAACGTATTATATGATACAAAACGACGTAGCATAGTGAGTTTGGGTACCTAAGCTTATATACCCTTAAGGGTATATTCACTTTTCCTATATATATATATATATATATATATATATATATATATATATTATATATATATATATATATAATAATATGTGAGAAAAGTGATTATGTGGCTGTTATGTACCTAAGCTTATGTATAAAACCTTTTAAACTATATAGTTTTAAACAAAACAAATTCAATTTCATTTTCTCTTAATATTATTTTAATAGAATATCATTGAATTGAGTTAAATTATGGAATGAAAAAGATCAATTATATATCTTTTTATTGCAAAAAAATCATTTAAGTTTATAGGGAAAGTAAAAAAAAAAAACTAATATTTTTAACGAATATAACTCAAACGTTTTGTCTTTCAATCAAAAAACCATTTCGAATGATTTGTGAAAATCTTGATTAACTTATGTTATATTCTTCTTTTATATTTTATTTTATTAGTTTTCATTTAAAATGTAGTAGGATTGATTAAATGAGCATGAATTCTAACGCTTTAAGTTCTTAGACACAATTAATAAAAAGAACACATATTTGATCTATTTAGTAAGTCACATGATTAAGGAATAATATTAAAAGAGATGTCACCATTAGTTTGGATATAAATTGATCAAAACTACATTGTTTGGAGGGTTTTATATATAAGCTTAAGAACATAACAGCCACACACACATACACACACACATATATATAATACCAGAGCCATTTGGGCTAAAGACCTAACACTATGGCCTAATACACAAAGCACAAATATATATACACTAACAAGATGTCATTCTCCCTTAATTATAGAGATTAAATTTTTTTTCCATAAATTTGTTAGTCTAGAAGCCTCAGTAAGCAACTATTGAAATGCATAGTGCTTCCATAAGTTTTCTACAATGTGTTTTTGTAACGCCCGCAGATCCGGGCTAGTCAATTTAGAGGCAATAGGGGTCGAAAATGACTTTTCGACAAAAGATTACTTAGAATAAATAATCTTAACCAAGTTGTGGAATATGTCTCAAGCTTTCCGTACATATAAAGAACGCCAAAATCCGAGTTATAACGAAGAAGTTATGGCCCGCCGAAGTTTTACGGCAAAACCGGCACGGCACCGGGAGACGTAAATAGTGAATTTACGATAGAAGACTTTTTAGCCTTAGCAATATAAACAAAATTCATAGAATATGTTAAACTAAGAACATCGATAAAAAGAACGCCCAAATCTGACTTCGTATGAAGAAGTTATGATTTTTCTAAGATTCGGCTTAGCAGTGCACGGCCCGAAACTCGAATTTTAGTTCGAGCGGTTTTTGGCTTACGCGACCTAAATGAGAGTTGAAGGTATCATTAATAGGAACTCAACGGTAAAAAGACAGATGAAAACGGAGTCCGGATGAAGGAGTTATGAACTCTTCGCGGTCATTTAACAGTCTAAACGTCTCCTACTGTTAAATTTGAAATCGGTCGAGAATTAGCCAACGGAGTCTAAACGAAAGTTGCAGATCTTGATTTTACCTACGCGTGGATATAAAGAACGTCGAAAACGGAGCTCGTATGCGAAAGTTATGATTTTTCTAAGTTTGAGGGCTGATACGCGATAGGGGGTGACGTGGCACCACCAGAATTGGACACGTGGCACCACCAGAAGGCCACCACATGGACCAACTCGGCGAGTAGGTCCCCCCTACTCGGCGAGTAGACCAATCAGCACCCCTATAAATAGAGGTGTCGGGTTCCCTCATTTCCTCACCCCTCACCCCTCTTCTTTCTCTCTCTATACTCTCTCTCTAAGCTCCCTTAAGCCCCTAAAAGCCTAGGTAAACCCCCTAGCACCCGAAGGAAGCCCCAAGGCTCCCGGAGTCCCGAGAAAAAAGCCTTTCGGCTCGGGAAACGCTGCTCCAGCGAAGCCCGGTTTTGCGAAAAACCCGCTGTAAGTGAGCTATGCCTACGCTATCTTTAATATAGCTTATGTTTTAATATAGTAACATTATTAGGAACTTATAATGAGTATTTAGGATATTATTATGAGTTATATTGAGTGTTATTTAACGCTTATATAATAATAATAATAATAATAATAATAATAATAGTCAGACTATTAATTAGTCACGGTTATCGTTAGACTAAACCCTAGTGGTACTGGTACTAGGTTTTATCGAAGGAATATCATTTTGAGAGTATCGAAGTGCTGTCCGAGTGCTGAGTCACCACCTATTCAGGTGAGTGCATAGTCCCTTTCATCTTACACATAGATATGAAGTATTTTAATATAAATTACGTGTTATGTGTACATATTGTCTGGATACTTGCTGTCTATGCTGAGTGAAAGATTTTTATACATGTTTTAAATGATTTAAACTGTATACGTATTTTATATCTACAAAACGTGTTGGGAAAAAAATGGGTAGATGAAATATTTGTTTTGTGATAACACGATGGGAGACATCAGTGTTGTCAGTGATCTAGTCATCTAGTGAAGTATAGATGACGACTATGGACGATACTAGACGGTCCAGTAGAACGATAGCAGATTCGTAACATGTAGGTATTTTTGAATTACGTGCTCATTAGGTATTTTGAACTAAGTGTGTTCACTACGTATCTTTGAACTGAGTGTGTTCACTAGGTATTTTGAACTAAGTATGTTCACTAGTTACTTTTGAACTAAGTGTTTACCAGATGTTTCAGACTACGTGTTCACCAGATATATTCTATAAGCCTTGGTAATGATGGACTTCGTGTCGATTCCTTAGGATGATCCTTAGGAATAAATAAACGAGGAATAGCGGGTTCTTAGGGTAGATCCTTAAGACTAAAGAAGATAATGGGGATGGGTAATTGGGTTGATTGTTTGATTGTTTAAACATAATAATTATATTATTGTGGGTTGAAAACCCTATGTACTCACCAGGTTTCCCAACCTGACCCACTCAGTTTATGTATATCACAGGTGATGAAATGAAGTGACATTACACTGAGAGATTTAAAGAGATGTAGATCACTAGTGTAAATAATTGTAAGTTCTGTTTATGCTTATGTTTCTGTATTAACGATGACATCCCAAACGTTTTAAGATGAATAAAAATACGTTTCTTCGAAAATGTTTTAATAACGTATTTATCATGTTTTTCTGGGAACAAATTCCGCAACTTTTTTATAAAATGAAGTACTCTGATTTTCATAAAGCATAAACAAAATCGGTCTTTTCTGGCCGTGATTTTGGGGATGTCACTGTTTTCATTTGTCTACAAGGTTGTATTAGTTCTATAAGTCAACACAAATGACAAATTATATACTTAACAGGCCATGAAACAAAGGTTAATCTTAAAATAACGTTACTTGTAATATATCTGAAAGACAAACCAAATGTTTGTTGTTAATTGTGTAAGATTTCGTATCAACCTAACGATTGTTAAATATTGAAAAATTAGAAACCGTCA